TACGTTTATACTTACGTATACGGTAGTTGTTTACCGTACTACTCAACTACACTAGACTCACCACCACGACGAAACGAACGTACTGTACGTACTTCGTCTCTCTCTCTCGTCTCTCTCTCTCTCCTCCTCTCTCTCTCTCTCTCTCTCTCTCTCTCACGTGCGCGTGGTGCGAGCGTGCAACACCCCCCCTCCTCCTTCCCCCATTGATGGGTAGTCTGGGTTCAAACCCAGAATTTCAAAGTTGCAACTGGCACTTTATGGGCTCAAACATCGCTTCTCATGCTTTTTGTTTTCATGGTTTTTCCTTCATCCGTAATCTTACACTTTTGCCCATGTGCTCCCTAGGTCTATGGATTGTCATGGTTGGTGATGGCGACCGTGATGTTGGTGCTAAAGGTATTCTCTGCTCGATATGCAAAGTAACATTTGTCTACCCTTGGCTTTGGTTTTCCTCTTTCACTATATAATCCGCTATGCTATTCTTCTACTGCCTTCAGATGGTATCAGTGGGAAGAACAAAGTTTGGTACTGACTTCCAGCTCATGTTCCGAATTCTCAAAGGACTACTCTTCATTGGCTTCGTATGTGTTCTCACCATATTATTTGTAGTCTGTGGCCTCACTGTATCAGATTTATTTGCTGGCATTCTGGCTTTTATGCCTACTGGGTGGGCCTTCATACTTGTGAGTACATTTCCTTGACCTCCTTCAATACCATTTAGCAAACTTAAACGGTATATTCTAAGCATATAGCTTCTTGTATGTCTCTTTGCCCTTAGATTGGACAAGCCTCTAGGAGTTTGATGGGGGTTTTAGGACTTTGGGACTCTATAAAGGAGCTGGCAAGGACTTATGAGTACGTGATGGGTATTATAGTCTTTGTGCCCATAGCTGTGCTTGCTTGGTTCCCATTTGTTTCAGAGTTTCAAACACGCTTGCTTTTCAACCAAGCCTTCAGTAGAGGCCTGCAGATATCAATGATTCTTGCTGGGAAGGACATGAGAACTTCTAAATAAACTAGTTTTTTTTATTGTATCGGTCAATTAATAGAAAAATGAATTGTATAGGTCTGCCAAGGGGGTAGATCCCAAATAACATTTGACCCTCCGGACTAGTCTTGCTCTAACATTGGATGTGGATGTACTTGTATTTTATTTGAATCCTGTTGTTTCTTTCTCTATTCTTGGGATCTTAATGTTGTCTTAGCATTGTATCGGGATACTGATTTTGAGCAGTTGACCAGAACCATGTTTCAAGTGAACTGTTCCCAATTGGCACTCTTAGGTACTAAGAATGCAACGGCAGTATAAACAGGTTTACATTTCTGCACTTATTGGAAGACCATGCTTTTAGCCATGTGAGATGAGCATGGATCAAAGTCTTAAGAAACCATGAAAGATAAATTGAGCAAGATGTTGATTAAAGTTCTTGTGCAGGAAGTGTTTATTAGGGACTAGAGTTCACCAAGTGGGAGATATCCATTTTGCCAATATTTTAAATAAATAAAGAGTAGTTGGGACTGAAAATAACATCATGCAAATTATTGGTTGTGCTGGAAGTGATACTAAGTGCAAACAGGTCTCAAAATTTGTCTCAGGAGTTTCATTTCAAAAATAAACAAGAAGTACAATAAACACCGTCCACTGTTTGCATTAAAGACAGTTTTGAAACTTTAGATCTATCTAGTCCCCTAAGTTTGGAGGGGCATAAATGCAATTGAGAACAAAAAAGAAAATGAACGTACAGATGGGCCTTCTTGCAATTCAGAATTGCATAAATGCAACTTACTGAGAGAAAAAAAGAAATGAATGTGGATGGGTCCTCTTGCAATGTAAGATGCATGTATTCGATGAAAGAAATTTTATCCAAAAAGCATAGATATTTAGTGGCTAATACAAAAAGGTTTGCTAGATTATGCTTTTACAGAAGTCGATTCTCTCAAAGGAATAGAAGGAAATTTTCATCGTGGCCATGAGGCCTGATGTAGCCTTTGGTATTGCACAATACCACCTTCTAAAGTTCTTGTTTTGTTCTAGGCTTACTTTCAGAGGCATCATCTTGTTTCTTCATGTTTCCTTTTGACATGTCATAGGGAAAACACTTAAGGGATTTTTTTGGCCTGAAAATATTCAGATAATCCTTTAGCCACCTTTATATGTACCTCATTACCAATTGCCATGAGCATTTCGTAGGTGTGTTGCCAAAGATGATTTGATACTTCAACAATAATAAGAATTAGAACTTTCCAAATGAAACAAGGAAAAGCTGTTGATCTCTCGAACAAAAAGGAAACAACACATTTATCTCTCTTCTTTCTCTAATTCTAATCTAACGTTCTCACTTTCCATATATATCTGCTATGATTAAGTTCCTAAATTTCTCTCTCAAGATGATTTTTACAAAACTATCTCAATTAATTTGCAAATCCTGGAAGTAAGTTCAAGTTATATCCTTTTCCCATGGTCCAGAAGCTCAATCTCTCTCTTTTCCGTGAGTTCTCATTGAGATCTTGGAACCTTTATATGATATTCCTTCAAATAATTGGTAGTCCAGAGTCAATCTTGGTAGGTTAATTTTCGGGCAATCAGATCCCCTAACACAATGTTTTGGCAGCAATTTGTGCTTGTAGGACCACCAAATATTTTTTCTTAAGAATTTAGGATGGGATGACTGGTTGCACATTAGGCCCATGAATGTGGTTGGGTCAAACTGGAAACCTATCGGCTTGACAAAATATCGGTCTTGGTTTGGATCCCCAAAACCTGGAAGGTTAGGTCCAAGTTCGGGGGTGCTTATCATGTCTGGGTTTGCATTCAAATTCGGGCCAGGTTTCGATCTTGGACCTTTAGGGTTAGGCACTGAGTCTGGATTGGATCTAACCTAGGAGGTTTGTTGGTCCATCAACATGCGAGGTTATTGAACTCTAAAGGCAAGTCCCAATGCAGCAATAACACAAAAAGTATCCCGAAAGATGAAGGATCCAACATAAATTATATACTTTTTACATTACCTTCTTCTGGGGCTTTCATCCTTTTACTTACAAGGGTACTTATAGATATGAGGGTGTGTCCCTAGTGTGAGGGCACACCCATGTGGATCAGACTCCCTTCATGATTTATGTTACTACATGAAGGGAGGTGCGAGAGGTTGCACCTCTTCATAAGAGAATTACCCTCCCATGATTGATATGCATAATGCTTTTTAATAATGCCTATTCATGAGGAGGTTACTCTCACACGAATGAGCAGGCATTTTCTTGCATTATAAAAGGGGAGGGGTGGAGGTCTCTACATACAACAGCACACACACAGCAAATTGCGGAGAGCTCCACTTGACAGTGAAAGCATAATTACTCTCCCATTTGAGTTCTAAGGAGAGACCCACCCTTGAGAGAAAGAGTTGTCAAGAGTGTTGAGCTTGGACTACTCCGCATATCGTATTTGTGAGCTTCCACCTCACTCGAGATTTGCAGTGTAGAATTGATTTTAGCATATCTAGTAGTTGTAGAATTCACCTATGCGAGTTGATTATTCATCTCCAAATTCATTCACTAAAACTTGCTTGCGAGCACTCAGGTATGATACCCGGTTCCTAGTTGTTTAATTGTTGCTTTCGCTTCAATCATTTGGCTATTTTTTCAACATTGGAATTAGAGTCATTGTGGAACTGGGTTCGGTTCCCGAATGTGCCTGCATTGTCGTTCCAGCCTTATTTTTGAAGGCTTCGCTCTGATGTTACATAGCGCACATGCCAGTTATATTAAGATTATGGGCAGATGTGTTATGTAGCCTTATGCACCAACTACAAAGATATGTAGACCTTATGCATTGAGGACTCGTCGGCCTTATGCATGGGCTATGCAAGTTGAGGCCTCCTAGACTATGAGCATTGTAGCTAACTAATCTTGATAAGCCTCATATGCTAAGCCGTGCATGGTGGGCTGTACTCATTTTATTTGGCAGGGCCATATATAAACACATTTTTTTTAGTGGGAGTGCATCTAAGGTGCACCACTTGCAAATTGTTAGGTATTTAAGATGTTGGATAAAAAAAATATTGATATTGATTACAAGCAATTGCTCAATATGGCTACACAAAATTTTCATGTCAAGGCTTTTAAGGGTCAAGTTTTGCAAGTAACTTGACAATGAACGCACGTAAAAATAATAATATAAGTGCAATCATGGATCAAACAAACCATAAGACATCCATATTAATAGGTTTACAATTTTGTTGTTTTGACTTAGAATGACTTTTAAAAATGCGATAACGAATCTCACTAAAGGTGAAAAGTTGAGTGGGAGCAAATTTTCTATGGTGTAGGAAAATACAATACATTCTAAATGAGCAAGGTACTTTTGAACACCTAACTACCACTAAGCAAAAACCTGAACAAGGTGCAACAAAAGAACTTCTTCGTGAGTATGAGGCATGGGACAATGCTACCCGTAGTGCTCACTTTACTTTGCTAAGTACTGTGGTTGATGGCTTCATTCATAAATTCGAAGGATTCACAATGGCAAATGCCATGTGGGACACTTTATTAGAAGTATGCTGACACTTTCGTTGATTAGTTACGAGCCTTATTTATAGCTTTTACAAAATGCCTCCAGATGTGTCGATCGCACATCATGTAAGAAAAATGTCTCAAATGATACGTGACCTTCAAGCAGTTGGAAACAAACTCAGTCACGAGCAACAAATTCTCGGGTTACTTAGGTCTCTTCCAGAATTTTGGGAAAACATAATGTCACAAATGTTGCATAATGAGGTTGTAACGGCTTTTTCCCAACTTTCTCATCATCTTGAGATAGAGGTTGTGTTTTGATTATCTTCTAGAGTTGGAACCGCTCTAGTTATGCAAGCGAGCCAACCTCGAGGCTGTAAACCTCAAGGTAAGTCAAAGAATGCGACACCTCAAAGGAAGGAGGAACCTAAGTAAGAGTCTAAGAAAAAGAAAAAGGTCAAGCATAAACGCAGGAGGTGCACAAGGGATAAATCTAAAATAACTTGCTACAATTGCGAAAAGAATGACCACTATGCAAGTAAATTTCTTGAACCTAAAAAGGTACGAATTGATTTCCTTAGTTATGCAAATGTTTGTACTCAGGTGCTTGTTGCTTATTCACAATTTACTGGGTGGATTGTGGATTCAGGAGCGACAAGGCATGTGGTGAGGGATCGAGAATGGTTAGTTGAGCTTCAAACTTTGGTAGTTGGAAGCCAAAAGATTTCATGGGGGATTGTGCATCATAGGATGTATTAGGGGGTTGGATATTACCAATTCCGATTCTGAAGTGGATGAATATTTCTTCTCTATGACGTACTATATGCTCCCGGATTGAGAAAAACTTTGTTTTTAGCTTTATGTTTAGTTAGACATGGTTATCTAATAAGTATTATGCTTAATTATGCTACATTTACATTTTAGGATGGTTTTCATTGTTATGGTCGGATTATGAATGACTTGTTTGTTTTGGATAATGATGATGCTAATGTTGCACTTCTTTCTTCTTAAATGATATCTTCATCTTTTCCTACATCTTTCACCTCTTATATTACACACAACTCCATGATGTGGCATACTAGGCTTTTCCATTTAAGAAAAGATAGGATGATCCGATTAGCCAAAGCAGAATTGTTGTCTGTAACAAAAATAGACTTACCTATATGTGAACCATATATAGCTAGAAAGTCAACTAGAAAGTCATTTCTTAGAGCAAAGAGAGTAACTGGCCTTTTAGATGTAATACATTCCGACATTTATGATTTGTTTAATGAGATGGACCATGATGATTCTCATTATTAATCACATTTATTGATGTCTATCTCATTGTGGTTATGTATACTTAGTCTCACATAAATCGCTGCTGTACATTATTTTTGACACACTTGTATCCCGATGCGAATAAAAGAGGAGATGGTTGCAACCCAGGCCTGTAGGCACCAAAAGTGCTTATGGACTACGAAGCCCTTGAGCAAATAAGGTTAATTTTTGGAAAGTTATGAAATTGTGTTATTGTAGTGACCCTAAATTTTTATAAAAAATAAATAAAAATATATATATATATATATAAAATAAAAAATAATAATAATAGTAAATAATAATAATAATAATAATAGTAAATAAGAATAATAATTATAATAATAATCACAATAATAATAAAATGCTAATAAATAAATAAATCTATATAAAAGAATAAATGATGGTCCATTGGGTTATAAAATACCATGGGACCATCATTCTCATTTACACTTTTT